CAAGTGCGTCACCGTATTTGCAGCGGAACTGCCAAATAAAGACATTGACTACCGGTCCAAAACTTCGAGCAATCCGCCATTATTATTCGCTCCGATTTTGTAGTCCGAGCTCAATGATGCAGAAATTACGAGAGGGCAAGTCAAAATGTTCGGTTTTTGGATGTACGTTAGTGACCTAAAGCACTTCAAGGATTCCCACTTCAACAACCTCCGCCAGTATAACACCGTGTCCTAACTACACGCGACGCGACGCCGCGACACGCGATAAAAGGTATCTTTTCCATGTTAATCAGAGTTTTTGTCCTAACCAGACGCGACGGCGACACGCGAAGTTTCTAATTTAGAAACGGTTCCTATTTCTGCGACGTCGCGGCTGACAGAATGAAGAAATTACACTGGTTATGAGTATATATAATTTATTTTTAGTTAAAAATAGGTCACTGTGCCACAAGCGATAAGGATAATTTACCTCAGATTTTGAAAGCATGTAATATAGCGTTCAAAATGAATTCTATGCAAACATACAACTGTACTTCATAACAAAATTAGTCAATGAGTATATTTTGTTAATGTTTTTAATGTTATTTCTTGATTTGATTGTCCATACCCATTTCCAATGCGAGTGCGGGCCAACAGTGCGCTTTCACAGAGAGACTCTGCTCACATCATAGGCTCACACGCTGTTCTGAATGTGTGGCATCTCACAGTCGCGTCGCGTCTAGTGTGGACAGACACACTGCTGTCGCTGGAATTTTATCGCGTCGCGTGTAGTTAGGACACGGTGTAAAGAAGGATTTGCCGATTGACTTCGTCTGAATGAGAGGTAAATTCCTTCTATCTTTGGAGATGAATATGAGGTGCCCCTAGGGACATTATTCAGAAATGCCATGCATATACATGTACTTTTCCTCTCACATACACATATGAAACCAAATTCATTCACATACTATAATGAAATGCTCACACACATACAAGTGAAATGCTTTTACACACACAACTGAAACGCTCTCATACATACAAGTAAAAAATATATACGCTCACACACACAACTGAAACGCTCACACACACAACTGAAACGCTCACACACACACAACTGAAAAGCTCTCTCACACACAAGTGAAACCCTCACACACACACAACTGAAAATATTGCGCTCACACACACACAACTGAAACGCTCACACACACACAACTGAAACGCTCTCACACACACAACTGAAACGCTCACACACACACAACTGAAATCCTCTCAAACGCACAACTGAAACGCTCACACACACACACACAACTGAAATCCTCTCTCACACACAGCTGAAATGCTCTCTCACACACAACTGAAACGCTCTCACACATACAAGTGAAATGCTTTTACAAACACAACTGAAACGCTCTCGCTCACACAACTGAAAAGCATTTCGGTTGTGTGTGTGTGAGAGCATTTCCGGTATGTTGTATGCAAGCATTTCAGTAGTGTGTGTGAGAGAGAATTTCAGTTGAAACGGAAGCACATTTCAGTTGAAACGGAAGGTGGTTGAAGTCCCCAGTCCAGTTGGTGGCAGTAGTGCACCTCAAGACGAAGAACTAGAAGCTGTAGAAAGCGTAGTAAAAACGCGCGCAGCCGCGCACCTTTCACAAAGCACCGTTCGTTCACTCGCAATCGCGCTACGTAACAGCAATGTCTGCTCAACAGCAAAGAACATTAACCGAGGCAGCGGGCTTGCTGAGCACCATATTAGCCTCAGCGGAGTCCATACGAACCCAGTTGGCAATAAGTGACCTGCAGTTGGCATTGGCACGCCGCTACGTTGGCGGGTAGGGAAGAGCGAGGCTAGGTGGCTGTCCATCGTGTCCACCACACTTGGAGTTGCAACGGTCGGTTGCTGCCCGAGTGTGGTGGCATTTGACAGGGTTCGTATGGACTCCGCTGAGGCTAATATGGTGCTCAGCAAGCCCGCTGCCTCGGTAATGTTCTTTGCTGTTGAGCAGACATTGCTGTTACGTAGCACGATTGCGAGCGAACGAACGGTGCTTTTTTTTTTTTTTTTTTACTTTATTCTGAACAATACACAGGACAATAGGTACAGAGAACACTACAGATAATGTAACCTGTTCAACAAAATTAAATCAATAGTGTATAGACCAGAGGATAATAACAAATAAATTAATATAATTATAGAAGGGGAAAAAATTACAAAAAATATGCAGTTCCTTCAGGAGATGAAATGTTCTTGTAGCTTTCATGTTTTCTATTGTTTTATAATATAATTTAATGTCCAAATGAAATGCCTTAAAACAAGGTTGTGAATTAGACCATTCACATTTGTGAATATGGTATTTTCCAAGGATAATAAACAAATGAATGACAAAAATCATTTTTTTGACAAACCACAAAAGTCAAAGTAGGCCTATAGCATGACATCAAAAATATTGATTCTGATGTTTACATTCAATTTTGTAATTATATATTCTTCCAAATCAGACCAAAATTGTTTTGTGTACATACAGTGATAAAATAAATGAAAAATTGTCTCCTTATTAGATTGGCAAAAAACACAAGACTCTTCTATGTTTATTTTAAATCTTCTTAAAGTATCTTTAACAGGATAAATTTGATGCAAAATTTTAAATGAAACTTCTTTCACTTTATTATTAATACAGTATTTGTGACGAACGGTGCTTTGTGAAAGGTCCGCGGCTGCGCGCGTTTTTACTATGCTTTCTACAGCTTCTAGTTCTTCCTCTTGAGGTGCACTACTGCCACCAACTGGACTGGGGACTTCAACCACCTTCCGTTTCAACTGAAATGTGCTTCCGTTCCAACTGAAATTCTCTCACACACACTACTGAAATGCTTGCATACAACATACCGGAAATGCTCTCACACACACTACTGAAATGCTTGCATACAACATACTGAAATGCTCTCACACACACACACAACCGAAATGCTTTTCAGTTGTGTGAGCGAGAGCGTTTCAGTTGTGTTTGTAAAAGCATTTCACTTGTATGTGTGAGAGTGTTTCAGTTGTGTGTGAGAGAGCATTTCAGCTGTGTGTGAGAGAGGATTTCAGTTGTGTGTGTGTGTGAGCGTTTCAGTTGTGCGTGTGAGAGGATTTCAGTTGTGTGTGTGTGTGTGAGCGTTTCAGTTGTGTGTGTGAGAGCGTTTCAGTTGTGTGTGTGTGAGCGTTTCAGTTGTGTGTGTGTGAGCGCAATATTTTCAGTTGTGTGTGTGTGAGGGTTTCACTTGTGTGTGAGAGAGCTTTTCAGTTGTGTGTGTGTGAGCGTTTCAGTTGTGTGTGTGTGAGCGTTTCAGTTGTGTGTGTGAGCGTATATTTTTTACTTGTATGTATGAGAGCGTTTCAGTTGTGTGTGTAAAAGCATTTCACTTGTATGTGTGTGAGCATTTCATTATAGTATGTGAATGAATTTGGTTTCATATGTGTATGTGAGAGGAAAAGTACATGTATATGCATGGCATTTCTGAATAATGTCCCTAGGGGCACCTCATAGATGAACAGAGCATTTCGATAAGCTGTAAATATCGTTAATAAAAATAAAGTACTTTACTTTCTTAAAACACATGGTGGTCATGGTTTAGCAGTACCTTTGTCTTTCTTTGTTTTTGTTTTGAAGTAACGATACACGTCTTCAGTATTATTGTTTCTTGAGTTTCATTAATGGTCATTTAGCTGTGTTGTTTTCTGATGCTTTTCTAAACGTATCATATTGTCAATACAGATTTTTTTGTGGTAAGATTAGACCGTAGTCATTTATCTTGTCAGTGTGCTTGTTTTAACAAGAGAAATAGTCGACTTTCACTAATAACACAAAACAGTTAACTCACATTGTTCTGCAGGTTCGTCGTAGTCTTTATCAACTCGCTCGCTCTGGCTCGAATATGTAAGGCTTGAAGGACAAGTCTTCTGTTGTTGACATTTTATTAAAGTGTGAATAAAAATGTTTTTTGAAGGTATCGTATCGTATATCTCTAATCTCTACAACAATAATGGCCGAACGGGGGAGTTGAACTGACCGTTAACTCATCGACCTGGAGAGCGGGCGGGGTATGACGCATCTCCTTTTTATTTAAAGGGGACGCATTGAAACAGGTCGCTCAAAGATGCACATCAGAAAAGGGGTAGAAAAGGGGCTCGTGGAGCTATAATAATGAGGAATTCAGACCCAAGCATTGCAGTTATGTTTTATATAGACCACAACGGTATGATTTATATGTAAAAATGAATGATTTAAAAGCATGATATGTACCCTTTAATAGACGCAGTTTTAGGTAATAGTGGCTCACAGCTGATTAGCATTAGCAAGTATTTCAATAGAGTTCAAGACAGTAATAACGCGATTCAGCCAATTAGCCAAAAACGTACACAATATAAAACACAAAACAAAGTATTTTGAACATCAGGTAAAACATATACAGTATCATCAATAATTATTCATAGAGGTATTCTTGTGATTGTGATTCTGAGGAGCAAGCTAGTCAAAATATACTGGGCACCACTGACCCATCTTTCTTGAGCAAGCGCTTTGCAAATCCCGTGTTGAACTCAGAGATTTGAGAAGCAGTCGTCAGTAAAACGACATGCTGTGGGCTGGTAAAGTTGTTCGCGGACGGACAATGTACAACAGGTGGGCGTTATGCAAACATATCTTCTAGTGACAGAGAACCAACGTAGGACGTGACGTAGGATTCAAAAAACAACTTGTATTGGTGGTTCAGAGTCGCACCAATCACGCACTTTTTTGACTTGACTTAACTTTGCAGAGCGTTTACATTCACAAACAACTATATTACACACTGCATGAAAGGGTATATTCGAAAAGCCATAGTAGGGGCACTTTAAACAAACTGACTTTAAAAATGAGCTACAAATGTGATGCTACAAGCAGAATTATACATTTTTTAAGTTTTTTACTAAACAGCTAAGTTTTTTAACATTCGGAATGATTGTATGGATGATTGTAAGGTGCATGTGCATCTCTCACCAAGCGAATAGGTTTGCCTGTGGATGGATGTCCAAAGCTGTCAGTCCTTTCACTGTCTGCAAGATGTTGATTGATTCTGGCATCCGTGGGTCAAAAAAACGCACATCCCCATTCACACTAAAAGACAGGGGACCCAAAATGTGAACTCACTACAAAAAGAGAATAAGTTATATAATGAAGTGATTTAAATTATGTGAGACAGAAAAGCAGTTACCTGACACTGATAATATGTCCTTCGGGCTCCTTCTGCAAGTGTGCCTTCACTACCCAAGCACCATGTTCCCTATACGTCATCACACGGCTGGAAAAAAAAAGAGATATTATAAGCCAATCATTCCCTACAAAAATTAGGAAGCATCATTGAACACTAGAGGGAGCTGGAGGAATAACAATGCACCAGAACACAGAAAAACAGTGATTAGTAGCATAGTGAAGAAATCATTGTAGTTCTTTAGAAAGTTGATTCTTACACTTTGGGCATTTTTACCATTCAAGAACTATGGACTACCACTACTATTCACTATTACTAGTCTTGGGTCTGTAAGTTTTATTTATTTATTTAATTTTTTTAAAGAAATTAATTATTTTATTCTTTTATGGATGCATTAAAGGGATAGTCCACTGAAAAATTTAAATTCCATCATTTCCTCAGCCTCATATCATTTAAACCTGTATGCATTTCTTTATTCTACTGAACACATGTATGCATTTTTGTCCATGCATTGTGAGTCAATGGGAACCAAAACGGTCAGGTTTAGAAACAAAAAAAAAAAAAAATACAGGTTTGGAACGACATGAGAGTGAGTAGATGATGGCAGAATTTTTATTTTTCAGTGGACCATCCCTTTAAATTGATCGAAATGACGGAAAATACATTAACATTATTTTACAAAAACAACGTTACAAAAAAAAAAAAAAATATTTCAAATAAACACTTCTCTTTTAAACTTTCTATCCATCAAAGAATTCTGGAGGGGGGGAAATACTAACAACACCTATCAGTGTATTTACAAGTATCAATGGAGAACTGAACAAGTATCAAGAGTTGAGTCAGTCATTTCTAACACAGCGTAATATACACCACATCTCAAAAAATCATAACCGACAATTTACAGGTCCTTCTCAAAAAAATTAGCATATTGTGATAAAGTTCATTATTTTCCATAATGTAATGATAAAAATTAAACTTTCATATATTTTAGATTGCACACCAACTGAAATATTTCAGGTATTTTATTGTTTTAATACTGATGATTTTGGCATACAGCTCATGAAAACCCCAAATTCCTGTCTCAAAAAATTTGCATATTTCATCCGACCAATAAAAGAAGTGTTTTTAATACAAAAAAAAAAAAGTCAACCTTCAAATAATTATTTTCAGTTATGCACTCAATACTTGGTCGGGAATCCTTTTGCAGAAATGACTGCTTCAATGCGGCGTGACATAGAGGCAATCAGGCTGTGGCACTGCTGAGGTGTTATGGAGGCCCAGGATGCTTCGATAGCAGCCTTAAGCTCATCCAGAGTGTTGGGTCTTGCGTCTCTCAACTTTCTCTTCACAATATCCCACAGATTCTCTATGGGGTTCAGGTCAGGAGAGTTGGCAGGCCAATTGAGCACAGTAATACCATGGTCAGTAAACCATTTACCAGTGGTTTTGGCACTGTGAGCAGGTGCCAGGTCGTGCTGAAAAAATGAAATCTTCATCTCCATAAAGCTTTTCAGCAGATGGAAGCATGAAGTGCTCCAAAATCTCCTGATAGCTAGCTGCATTGACCCTGCCCTTGATAAAACAAAGTGGACCAACACCAGCAGCTGACATGGCACCCCACACCATCACTGACTTTGGGTACTTGACACTGGACTTCAGGCATTTTGGCATTTCCTTCTCCCCAGTCTTTCACCAGACTCTGGCACCTTGATTTCCGAATGACATGCAACCACTGAGCAACAGTCCAGTGCTGCTTCTCTGTAGGCACTTCTGCCGCTGTTTCTGGTTCAAAAGTGCCTTGATCTGGGGAATGCGGCACTTATAGCCCATTTCCTGCACACGCCTCTGCACGGTGGCTCTGGATGATTCTACTCCAGACTCAGTCGACTGCTTCCGCAGGTCCCCCAAGGTCTGGAATCGGTCCTTCTCCACAATCTTCATCAGGGTCCGGTCACCTCTTCTCGTTGTGCAGCGTTTTTTGCCACACTTTTTCCTTCCCACAGAGGTGCCTTGATACAGCACTCTGGGAACAGCCTATTTGTTCAGAAATTTTTTTCTGTGTCTTACCCTCTTGCTTGAGGGTGTCAATGATGGCCTTCTAGACAGCAGTCAGGTCGGCAGTCTTATGATTGCGGTTTTGAGTAATGAAACAGGCTGGGAGTTTTTAAAAGCCTCAGGAATCTTTTGCAGGTGTTTAGAGTTAATTAGTTGATTAAGATGATTAGGTTAATAGCTCATTTAGAGAACCTTTTCATGATATTTGCCAAAATCATCAGTATTAAAACAATAAAAGACCTGAAATATTTCAGTTGGTGTGCAATGAATCTAAAATATATGAAAGTTTAATTTTTATAATTACATAATGGAAAATAATGAACTTTATCACAATATGCTATTTTTTTTAGAAGGACCTGTATATCACATTGTGTTTTAATACATTCTATCATGGAGATAATTTCAAATAATTGACAAAATGACAATATGATTGGAAAAATTTCACAATAAATCTATTGTTAACAAGTGATATTTAGCTTAATTTGATTCTTTACACAACTCCTATTTTAATCATGTTATTTACTGACATGTGTTATATGATGTTATCTCTTTAATAACCAAGAACACTAGCTTTAATTTTTTTTTTTGTGTGTGTGTGTGTGTGTAATGTTATGCCGCAATTAAATTAGTGTTTTTTTTGGGTGTAAAAATGAATATAAATCCGTTTCACACAATACATATTGAAATTGTTTAGGTATAGATTGATATTTTCAATTAGTTGAGGCAAGGATGTCCGCATATGGATTCTGCATTATGTGACAGAACTTTAGCATGTCTAGGTCAGGGTGCGCATTTACTTCAATTTCATTAAGCAATTTATGCTCTTTATGTCAAAGTATGGGTTTGTGTTCCCTGGTTCACCACTAGAGGTCCTCTTCCCCCACGGTGTCAGTCACATTAGAAACTGCATCTCTCACAATCCTTGTCTCATCTCATCATTGTTCATTGCATCCAGCTGTCACCCATTATGATCATTAGTCTATGTGTATAAGTACCCTGCTTGTTTAGTGTTTGTTACGCAGTCTTTTATCAATACGTCTGAGGTCTGTTCTGTCTATTCATTGTTGCTTGTGTTTGAATTGCTAATATGGATATTGACCCATGGCTGGACTGGTTTGTGAGTACAGATTTCCCCATTAAAACTTACTGCATTGTTGGATCTTTTGTGTTTTCTGAGTGTGGATCATGACAGAAGGACTCCGTCATGCCAAGATCCAGCAGTACGGGGTTCCGTATCCCTGATATGGAATGAACATTTTTCAGTGCTTTGCACTGTCTCCAGTGACCCCTTCCGTCGGACCCGGGGGTGCGTTTGAGGGAACACATTTGGCCAGGTTTTCTGGGACCCGTGGAGGTCACAAGATAGGAGGTGCTAGAGGTAAGTCCCGGCATAAGGACATCACCGCGGGTCTCGTCCAGCGTGAAGCTTTCACCGCCAGTTCTGTCCAGCCCTGAGTCTGTACATCGCCATCGGAAATGGAGGACCACCAATATCCTCTAGAACCCGGAGGCAATACCCGAGCAGCCCGCTGTTTTCCCGGAGGCCTTCTTGGAGGAGACACAGTATATCTGCCGACGCAGAAACTGTTCAGGTCACGTCTGCCGATCTAGAGACTGTTCACGTCACGTCTGCCGATCCAGAGACTGTTCACTTGATGCCAGCCGATCCAGAGACTGTTCACGTCACTTCCGCCAAGCCAGTGTCTATGGACAAGATGGCCGCCGCTGAGCCAGTGTCTCCGGACATGATGGCCTCTGCCACACATCCTGTTCCTGAGCCTGAGCCGTTGTCTGTTCCTGAGCCTGAGCTGGTATCTGTTCCTGAGCCTGAGTCTGTTCCTGAGGCGGTGTCTGTTCCTGTGCCTGAGGCGGCGTCTGTTCCTGTGCCTGAGGCGGCGTCTGTTCCTGTGCCTGAGTCGGTGTCTGTTCCTGTGCCTGAGTCGGTGTCTGTTCCTGTGCCTGAGTCGGTGTCTGTTCCTGTGCCTGAGTCAGTGTCTGTTCCTGTGCCTGAGCCAGTGTCTGTTCCTGAGCCGGTGTCTGTTCCTGAGCCGGTGTCTGTTCCTGAGGCGGCGTCTGTTCCTGTGCCTGAACCAGTGTCTGTTCCTGAGCCGGTGTCTGTTCCTGTGCCTGAGCTGGAGTCTATTCCTGTGCTGGTGCCTGTGCCTGAGCCGGTGTCTGTTCCTGAGCCGGTGTCTGTTCCTATGCCTGAGCTGGAGTCTATTCCTGTGCTGGTGTCTGTTCCTGAGTCGGTGTCTGTGCCTGTTCCTGAGTCGGTGTCTGGGTTTGTTCCTGTTCCTTTGCTATGGCCGGCCGAAGGGTCTACACCGCCGTGGCAGCCCGAGGGGTCTACACCGCCGTGGCCGCCCAAAGGGTCTACATCGCCGTGGCCGCCCGAAGGGTCTTCACCGCCTTGGCCGCCCGAAGGGTCTTCTCAGCCATGGGCGCCAGAGGGAATGTCTCCACCCTGACCGCCTGATGGACTGACGTCTCCACCCTGGTTGCCCTATGGGTCGTCTTCTTTCCCCCGGTCACCCGATGGGTCGTCTGCTTCGCCTTGGCCGCTGGCTAAACCGTCACCCCCTGTTCCTGTTCCCCTTCATGGTCCTGGCCCCCTATCCCTCCCCGTGGTCCTCCACCATTCCATGTCCCTCTTGAACTCTGGTTTTGTCTTGTTGTGCAGTTGTGTCTTGGAGCATCTGGTAGCTGCTCCGTAGAAAGAAGGGTTATGTCACAGTATGGGTTTGTGTTCCCTGGTTCACCACTAAAGGTCCTCTTCCCCCTGGTGTCAGTCACATTTGAAACTGCATTTCCCACAATCTTTGTCTGTTCTCATTATTGTACACTGCACCCAGCTGTCACCCATTATGATTGTTAGTCTGTGTGTATAAGTACCCTGCTTGTTTAGTGTTTGTAAGTGTGGATCGTGACACTTAAGGTATAGTGGCTCCCAGGCTGCATGCAAATTAATGAAAAGGGACTCAAAAACAGTGTGTGACACAGGAAATGTCAGCCTGAGCTGTGGGACAGAGAGGTGGAGTGTTTAAAGGTATAAAGGCAAGAAATGAAATAATAATGCACTGAGGAGAGCTGACAGATGTGACTAGCAGAGGGGAAATCTGTTAAATTAGCATTATTTAAATATTCATAGGGCTTTTTATGACTTAATTACACTGTTTTCTCGTGGAATTTGCAGGTGATAGTGTGTGAACAGACGGAGGCAGCAGTGGCTCGCCTGTATGGGCCAAAATATTCATCCAAACATAGACCTCTATATACACTGAAAGGTAAAATATGTAATACTTTTGTATCAATTATTCAAAAACCACTTGCACAGTGTTATATTTCTTTCAATTGTGTACTCCCATAATCCTAAATGTTTCAAAGAATTTGTAAATTCAGATAAATTCATAATTTTAAAAATGCCCATCCCTGTTCACTTGTCGCCTGTCAATGACGTGATATCCGCGCTATCCCTCGTTTCCGCTTGTACTGCATAGTGCGTAACGTCTTGCGGCATGCTGTTGTTGTTTTGTTCAAACATTATAGACCATGGCAAGCAGACTTTGGGAAATGAGGATCAATATCAGTGTGGCATTTTGGAAATGCCGAGAACTCCACGTCCATGACTAACTTGGACTTGACACTGAGCTTCACGAGTCACGACTTGACAGGGTCAAGAGCGACAGGGTCTTGACACGCTCTTGGCACTTTATTAGACAGGTCTGCAAATGTACATAAAACAAATCAATGTTATATAGCTCAACAATGAAATGTTAGAATATGATCAGTATGTTATTCTAATGTTGATCTAGTTTACTGCTAGTCTCATAAAGAAAACAATAAAGCTTACAAAATGTTTATCATAAACTAGCGCTAAGACCCAGAATGTGCCCTATTCAATTTTAAGGCCAGCATGGAGATTTGAGTTATTGTTACAGATACTTTTATTCAACCAAGACCAAATCCCAATCAATCCCAGTGGTGCTGACAGGACTTCCTTGTAGCTACCAAGACTGCTGATTCATTTTCTGATCTAGTCAGTTAGAAATGATTTCAAGACATCTGAATTCTACTCTACAAAACTCTACAAGACATCTACTTTTAGCTTCTGACCAAGGCTGTATTTCAATACTAGTTCAACTTGATCTTAGCGCTGCGTCCGACACTATAGATCATAAAATAGTCTTGATTCGACTACAAAACTACACTGGTGTTCAGGGACAGGCATTAAGCTGGTTTAGATCGTACTTATCGGACTGTTATCATTTTGTCTGTTTAAATGGGGAAAAATAACGTCAGTAGACTATGGAGTACCGCAAGGATCGGTGTTAGGCCCTCTGCTATTCTCAATATATATGCTGCCACTTGGTAATATTATAAGAAAACATGGAATTAATTTCCACTGTTATGCTGACGACACTAAATTATATTCACAACCAGATCACGACCAGATGAAAACACTAACTCATCTAAATTGACAGAGTGTCTCAAAGATATAAAATGCTGGATGACGCATAATTTCCTGCTATTAAATCCAGATAAAATGGAGGTATTACTTATTGGTCCAAAAAACTACACACAAAACCTCTTACAATACAACTTTAATATAGAAGGTTGTCCTGTTACTTTAGCCACTACAGTAAAAGACCTGGGTGTTATACTAGACCGCAACTTGTCCTTCGAAAATCATATTTCATATGTTACAAGGACAGCCTTTTTCCACCTTAGAAACATTACTAAGGTACGTAACATGCTATCTTTTTCTGATGCAGAAAAGTTAGTTCATGCATTCATAACCTCAAGACTAGATTACTGTAATGCTTTATTAGCCAATTGTCCTGCATCCTCAATAAACAAGCTACAGTTAGTACAAAATGCAGCTGCTAGAGTTCTTAAACTAAGTCAAGAAAATATGATCATATAACACCGATTCTATTCTATCTATTTGTGAGATTGTGGTTTTTAACATCTGCTCCCATGTAATGGAAATCAGCTATGCTAATTATTTCCCATCTGCCTTTCTGCTGTTATCTCGGGATGCTTGTCCCGAGTAAAAATGGCGTTCGTCAGCTCCAGTTTGTATCCAGCCTCACACGGAGACTTCAGATGCCCGAACGCCTGCGATGAGAAGACTTAACGCCTGTGAAGAGACGACTCAACGCCGGCGATATATTATGCCCCTAATATTGCATGATCAACTAAATGTCTTTTTCCATGTACTTTTCTGTAATGCACTTTCTGTAAAGCTGCTTTGAAACAATATGTATTGTGTAAAGCGTTATACAAATAAACTTGAATTGAATTGAATTATGAATCTATACTAGCACATCAGAGATGAATAATCAATAATATAGGCTAACTCTTTTTAAAGGATTCTGTGATTTGATTATCCCCAAAGCTCAATAATACAATATCATATTAATACAATTAGAGCTCTGTAAAACGTGACACACCATTCATTAGGTCCCATTCTGCGGTCGTACACCCGAACAGATCCGTCTCCAAGACCTGCAGCTACAAGTGACCGCTGAGGATCACATGACAGGCTGGTCACACAGCTGTCTGCTCCTGTTGGGATGTCCTGCAACATAGACACACAAAAGCTGAATGAGTTGTGTAATGAAGGTGTGCAGTTTTCATACCATGTGAGACATCAACCTTAAACCTTAATTACAATACAGTACATCTCAGAATACATGACAAGCTTCAGTACTCAAAATCATAATATTATCATAAAATTATTATTGAATTACGGAGAGTGCACCAAATGTGTGAGAGACCAAGCCTATCCATGAGAACTGAACTGCATGATCAGTTTCAGTCTTCTCTTGCGCTTTACTTCTGTCCAGCATGACGTCTCCTAAAAGCAGTTCTAACCACACAGTGATAGTTTTAGATATCCTACTTATTTAAATAAATTGTGAAATAATTACACTGAAGAATACTCACCAAAACAATAATACAAGAATCTGAAATATCAGTCAATGGAAATGTTCAATTATGAAAACTCTCGGAACGGAATTTATCTAAAAAATATATATATCTAAATTACGCCATATGCTCTCATTGACAAATGCGGTACAATTAGTTCATGCGTTCATGACATCAAGAGTAGATTATTGTAAGGCTCTACTGGGTGGTTGCCCTTCAAACTTCAGCAAGTCCAAAATGTAGCAGCTCGAGTTCTTACCAGAACCAGGAAGTATGACCATATTAGCCCGGTTCTGTCAACCCTGCATTGGCTGCCTATAAAATATCATATAAATTTTAAAATATTGCTATATGGTTTAGCTCCACAGTACTTAAGTGAGCTCTTAACGCATTATAGTCCTTCACGTCCATTGCGATCTCAAAACGCCGGCCAGTTGATAATTCCTAGAATATCAAAATCGACTGCTGGTGGTAGATCCTTTTCCTATTTAGGATCAAAACTCTGGAACAATCTTCCTAACATTGTCCGGGAAGCAGACACAATCTGTCAGTTCAAATCTAGACAAAAACACATCTCTTTGGCCTGGCATAAATTCAAATTAGGCTGCATAGTTTAGATCAGCGGAACCGGGAACACGTTCCGTAAATCCTGATGTACTTGGTAGAAGAAGGATGGCGTCCAGGGCTGGACTGGCCATCGGGCAATTCGGGCATTTACCCGATGGGCCGACGTGCTTTGTGGGCCGGTACATTTCAAACTTAAATTTTTTTTTAACTGCCCATCCAACTCGTGTCAGCGGCTCATTGCGTTTAGTTTAGCGGCCGCGGCGCTGGGATCTTTGTGCCGTTGAAACGCATCGGACAAAAAAAGTCCACGTGGGTCCTTTCTCATAGCCTGGTAATACCAGACTCTGCTACTTCACTTTGCTTCGCGGAAGTCTGACGTAGTCAGGCTACCTTTCTCACAGACCGGCCCATGAAACGGAGATCAGCGGCCCATTGGTTATTTTCTTGATTGACACTGGGATGGTTCAATCACATCTTTAATCATCTCCCCCTCTGGGCTGAGCGAGCGTGCAGTGTCAGTGAGTATCTGTCAAAATAGTCGCAAGGAATGTGCAGAGAAATGCAGTGAAAAAAAAAAGAAACCGCCTTCAGTGTCTGATGAGGAGTGAGGGGGATCACGAGAGACATTAGTGAGTGTAGAGAACTGTGGTAAGCAGAACTACTTTCAGAACAGAGGACAGGCTATGAGAAGGAACCCATTACTCAGTTACGCATTATTTCCACGTCTGCATATTTGACAATTAAGCATTTTACTAGAATTATAATTAGAGTATAAGACCCGTTTGTAAACCATGTTTTCCGCCAAAATAAAAGCTGGATGCCGTTTCCATCAAAATAAAAGATAATGTGTTTATATCTCTTTCAAGTTACAGAAATTAGTTCTAAGCTAATTATGCAATATTTCAGTGCATGTGTTTTACAATATATGGCTATAACTGCCATGTGATTAATTTTATAACTATGATTAATTATGTAGTATGTAATGTAGACAGACACTATATCCCAACTAAAAGAGTTTTGAGTTTTTCTTTGTTCAATTTGCTTTGTTCAACATTAAAAAGCACAAATTTTTCTTACGGGGGAGCATGCCCCCGAACCCCCCTAGAGGGACAGAGGTGCACTGACCAATACTATATAAAAATCTTGTGAGAAAGACTGGTATTGCCAATTCAATTGGACAATTGTATTTTTAACTTAGTAGTTATTTCATCTCACTCATTAGATGGCGCGTTGGTGGTTTTAATAGGAGTTGTTGGTGGTATACATATTCAAGGGCGTACACAGTTCAGTTGTGTTTATGTTCATATGTAGTGGGCCAGTCTGGGCCAAAATGCCCGGGCTGATTTTTTGTCCCAGTCCAGCCCTGATGGCGTCTACGCTAATATTAGTTCCTCTGTTTATCCCAGGGGACCCTCTTTGGTGGACCTGCGCCTGGACCCATCCCAACTCATCCTTAAGTGCTGCCCTGATCGACCCTAATCCTTGATCCTCAACATCTCGTCTCCAAACCGGTGTGATTACTTCAACTTCAAAACAGATGGAAATGGACACATTCTCTTAATGTTTCGATCCAATTTGTTTTGTAATCACTGTTCCTTCGTTGGCCAGAGGAGAACTTAGCTTAGTTGGGGACATTTAATATTCAACAATTATATTCATCGGTGTTGTATTATTTTCATGTTATCATTGTGAAGCTGCTTTGATACAATCTGTATTGTAAAAAGCGCTATATAAATAAATGTGACATCACTTGACTTGAATAGTTTTTAGAATGTTAATGAATATGGCAATGTTAATGTTAATGTATTTGGTCTTGCAGACTAGACATGCTACGCTGCTGCTGCAGAGCAAGTATGAACTTTCAACTACTAAAAGATATACAGACAAGCTACTGTGAGCATGTAAGATATGCTGCTACTGCATAAATACATATACATAAATCCTGTAGTAGATCTAATCAGGTGGAGTTGGGGAAGATGGGGGAAGTCTGATAATGCACTGCAGGACTAGGCTTAAGCAAACACTGAACCAGACTATTTAAATGTTGAGCAAACAATCTCATTGGCTGCAGGATCAGCAGAGGCTAATCAGCTTTTATTTTAATTTAACTGCGCCCTCTAGAGTTTCATGACTGAACTAGATATTCAGGTCACCCCACATATTTACCGTATTGTTCCGAATCTAAGACAATGCTTTTTTTCTTCTTGGAAATACATCTGAAAAAATGGCGTTGTCTTATATTCAGGATCAAAACTTTTATGTCAACAATACACCCACAATAATATTGAGCACCAAATACATGTAGAACAAGTAATCCCTCCAGGAATGATAAGCGCAGCGGAGTCAAACAATTCTCATTATGCAGCCAAGAAATGTGGTGTCAGTGTTTAATGTTAGAAGATGACAAGCCAAAAAAGGCCGTCTTAAAAATGCTAACAGTCATAGAAAAGCTTGCCGCTGTCCTAAAAGCAGTGCTTCGAAAAAACTGACAGGCTGACAACTGACAAGTCTGTCAGTAAGTAGCCGAAAAAAATAAATGAGGGCATGCCCATAACCAGAGTCCTCATCCAGAAGCACAAGAAATCACCAAAAAGCAGAGAGGCCCATCATTTCTTATTTCGGCCACATACTGCCTGTCAATATCCTTGAAGCGGCCGCTAAGAATGATGTGACGTAATGTATTAGAGCTTGCCCTCCGACTTCAGGGAGAAACTGCTGTCTTTTCAGCACTATGAGATCGGCCTAAGGAAAAAACATTCATATCCCCTGGATCAGATAATGCGGATCAAACACTTGTTTTTTGACATGCCAGCATCTGTCACTGTCTATAAAAAAAGGTGAGAAATCAGTCATGTGAAATCTACTAAATGAGACCTTCAGGTTACTTTTTATGGTAGCTATGCAACAGTGTTTATTTCCAAATTTGATTGTTGTTGGCACATTTTACCAGTATTTACCATACTTTAAATATAAAAATAAAAAATTAAACATGACAAATATTCAATATGAAAATTACTTTCAAATAAAGTATTAAAAAAAAACAAAATTTGCTCTTTAAAAAGCCCTTTTCCAAAAGGTACATCTTATCTTAGGTTCGTCTTATATCCGGAAATATACGGTACTATAGGATTTAGGTCTAAGCTCCGGACAGGTCATTTCAAATCATAAATCTTTATTTGCTGAAGCCATTCTTTTGTTGATTTAGATGTGTGTTTAGATGTTTGGATCATTGTCATTCTAAAAGGTTGAAAGTTCTCTTTATTTTCAGCTTTTTTGCAGATACCAGAAGGTTCTGTGCCAAAATCGTCTGGTACTTGGAGCTATTCATGATTCCCTCCATCTTCACAAAGTCAGAAAAGGCTTGTTAGATAGAGTTTAAATTCTTTTAATGTTGCTGTAGGTTTACTCTTTGTCTTAATGATTAATTTTGTAGGAACATTTTTCTTGATGTCATCACTTTTGTGCCATATTTCTCCACTTGATGATGACTATCTTCACTGTGATCCATGGTATATCTAATTCCTTGGAAATTTTTTGTTGCCTTTACCTTTCGACATTAAGGACAATGCCATTGATGCCTCGTAAGCTTTTTGTTGCCCATGGCTCTTGTAGTAGCATGCAACCAAGATGATGTCAGAAAAATCGAAGAAGTATTTGGGAAGTTATTGGAGAAGTATCTGGAGTTAATCACAGGCTATGTTTACGCAAAAGTGGCATTGCGTTATCACTTTTTTTTCTACGTTTAGACGAGCGTTTTGGGTGGGAAATCCTCGTGCATATGGTGACGCAAAAGTGTATGATATTTAATGTAGTATGCACTCCAGGCGCCTAGGTGGCGCCTGCGTACAACCTTCACTGTCAAGCAGACTTTTGTGTTTTTACCCTTTACACGGGAACGCGACGGTGGAGCATTTTTAAGGTCAGTGGCGGATGCAGAACGTGACCGATGGGTGGGCCTGGATTAAGTCGAGGTGGGCCAGAATCTAGGGTTTTGTATTAGCTTTACTAGTAGATAGGTTATATTTATGGAGATGAGAAATAAAAACCGCGCTGTACAGCTATGATCAACTGTTCTGTCGAGCTTTCGAAGTTGTTACAGAAAGGCCGAAGCTGATCAGTTGGTTTTTGTCACATGACCTGTGGCGCCACTCTCTGAAAAGTTGAGATGTTTTCATCTCGCCGCCTGGACAATCGAGCGCACTGCAGCCTGCATCACATGCATATGGCAAGCCAAAATATTCATAAACGCTGGTCAGGCGTCTGATTGCACACTGACCCGTCAAAAGCATGCGGGACGCGCGATTTGTCATAAAAGCGCATATTCTTAACGTGCACTTTGTGGTCACGGAAAACGTGCGTCAGAAACTCATGGTTTATGCATAATTTTTAAAAAAAATAAATAATGTATGAAACCTTATTGTAAAGTGTTACCGGAAATACAACTGGAAAATTTGCGAGATGTGTCTCGAACAAAGGGATTAGGGACTGTCCGAGGTGCTGAAGTAAAAAAAAGTGAACGTAAACGCCGAGAGTTGTTTTTCTTTTCTTGTTACAAAAACACTTCTTAGGCATAAAACACCTGCAGACAGAAACAATCTCGTTTAAATTGCAGATCACACGTCGAGGACGCATGTTTTGATGCAAAACCGGGAGTTTCTGATGCGTGTTTTCCGTGACCACAAATCGCACTTTAAGAACGCAAGCTTTTATGGCAAATCGTGCGTCCCTTGGCTGTCGAAACGCACGTGTTTGATGAGTCAATCAGACACCTGACCACGTCTGTCGCGACAGCATTGCTTCCATTAAGTACATTTGAAATGACAAACTTGAGCGCACAAAAGAGGCGATCTGTGAACGGGTCCTATTCTTTGTCTTTCCAAGAGACATGGTGTTCATGTGAACAATGGGCCTCGTTTGCTCTCCATGCAAGGGTGTCGAAGTCTGGACAAAATATGTACAGTGACATGACATCACTGCCAGATTCAAACTGTGCATTCGTTGGCGCTGAGCCAGAGATGGACGCGCTCAGCGCTTGTCTTATATAAAGTGTTCGGCGGGCCGTATATGGCCAAACTTAATTCATTATTATTATTAAAATGAAAAATTTAAATTGTTTTTATTAATCTGTTTGGCACCCAGGCCCACCCATAAATCCGCGCCTGAGGGTGGTTTCACTTTTTTGTGTTTTTAAGCCCCAAAAACGCCGTTACCATGTAAACGAAAGGCACATCCGATAAAATATTTTTACATTTTCACCCGCGTTCTCGTGTAAACAGGGCCACAGTCACTGAGAGAATCAGAGTAAAGACAGGTGTGTACTATTTCACGTGAGCTTGATGATTAGTTGATTCTCAACACAGCCATATACCCAATTATAAAAGGGTGTGCACATTTATGCAGTTGGGTTATTTTTATCAGTTTTACAGTGCAGTGGCATTAGATATGTTGTAATTTTTACATTAAAGGTGCAAAATTTTTTTTTTTTTTACATCACAAAAACCAACTGGGTAAATATACTTTTTATTTCCACTGTAAATGATGGAGCTACAAAGCTTGCCTGGGAGCGATGTGTTTAAGATGAAGCTGTGTGTCTTTTTGTGTAGTACCTGCACTTTCATTTCTCTTTCTGTGTCCCAGATCCGTATGACTCGAACGTCACCTGACGTCATCAGGAGGCCAGTCTCCTGCTCCCAGTCCACCACCATACCTGCACCTTCAAGAGAGTAGGGGAGGTTTCACACATACACACTCAAATATCTGTACGCCTGTTCATTACAATAAAATATAATATAATCACACACTCACCTGTTTTTCAGAATTATAAAACATGGATTAATGCATTATAATTTTGTCTCAACATTTTGTGAACTGTGTCATAAAACACTCAATACTGCACCTTTAACCAGAGGTGGGAGATTCGAGTGACTTGACTCGAGTCAGACTCGAGTCGCAGTTTTCTGGACTTGAGACTTACTTGACTAGATCTCTGAAAAGACTCAACTTGACTTTAGACTTGCTCCTTGTGACTTTACACTTGACTCGGACTTGTGTCTATTTACTTGAAATGACTTGTGCAAAAAAAAGTGTGAATGCCACGAAAAACACACAAAACCTCTAAAACGGGAAAAGACCTTTGCGATTTTTACAGATTGCCGAAAGCTACAGAACAGAGAAGCAAATGGATCACTGCAATTAGAAACAACTGGACTCCAGGCAGCGAGAGGTGGATTTGTGAATATCATTTTGTGTCAATATGCTCAATTAGGGGTAAAATCATACCATATATATTGTATTGTTATATATATTGTAACTCATCAAGTAAATATTTACCATTGTATTTTCTGCATAATTGGATGTTTTTACATTTACATCCAACACTGACAAAAACTATACACATTTTAGGGCTGAACGATATGATACAGTGGGGAGAACAAGTATTTGATACACTGCCGATTTTGCAGGTTTTCCCACTTACACAGAAGTCTGTAATTTTTATCATAGGTACTTCAACTGTGAGTGACAGAATCTAAAACAAAAAACATAAGTATTTCATCACCTACCAACAAGTAAGAATTCCAGCTCTCACAGACCTGTTAGTTTCTCTTTAAGCCCTCCTGTTCTCCACTGATTACCTGTATTAACTGCACCTGTTTGAACCCATTACCTGTATAAAAGACACCCATCCACACATTCAATCCAACAGACTCCAACTTCTCCACAATGGCCAAGACCAGAGAGCTGGGTAAGGACATCAGGGATAAAATTGTAGACCTGCACAAGGCTGGGATGGGCTACAGGACAATAGGCAAGCAGCCTAGCCAAGCCAACAACAGTTGGTGCAATCATTAAAAAATGGAAGAATTTCAAGTTGACGGTCAATATCCCTTGGTCTAGGCCTCCATGGATGATCTCATCTTGTGGGGCATCAGTGGTCATGAGAGGGTGAGGGATCAGCCCAGACATACACGGCAGGACCTGGTCAATGACCTGAAGAGAGCTGGGACCACAGTCTCAAAGAAAACCATTAGTAACACACTACGCCATCATTGATTAAATCCTGCAGCGCACGCAAGATCCCCCCTGCTCAAGCCAGCGCATGTCCAGGCCTGTCTGAAGTTTGCCAATGACCATCTGGATGATCCAGAGGAGGAATGGGAGAAGGTCATGTGGTCTGATGAGACAAAAATAGAGCTTTTTGGTCTAAACTCCACTCGTCGTGCTTGGAGGAAGAAGAAGGATGAGTACAACCCCAAGACCACCATCCCAACTGTGAAGCATGGAGGTGGAAACATCATTCTTTTGGTTTTCATCATGCTTTGCTTTTCTGCAAAGGACAGGATGACTACACCGTATTGAGGGGAGGATGGATGGGGCCATGTATTTTGAGATCTTGGCCAACAACCTCCTTCTCTCAGTAAGAACATTGAAGATGGGTTAGATGGGAAGATGGCCCGAAACACACAGCCAGGGCTACAACTAAGGAGTGTAGAAGCATCTCAAGGTCCTGGAGTGGCCTTAGTCAGTCTCCAGACTTGAACCCAATAGAAAATCTTTGGAGGGAGCTGAAAGTCTGTATTGCCCTGTGACAGCCCCGAAACCTGAAGGATCTGGAGAAGGTCTGTATGGAGGAGTGGGCCAAAATCCCTGCTGCAGTGTGTGCAAACCTGGTCAAGAACTACGTATGATCTCTGTAATTGCAAACAAAGGTTTCTGTACCAAATATTAAGGTCTGCTTTTCTGATATATCAAATACTTATGTAATGGAATAAAATGCAAAGGAATTAATTAAAAATTGTACAATGTGATTTTTTGGATTTTTGTCACTCACAGTTGAAGAGTACCCTATGATAAAAATTACAGACTTCTACATGCTTTGTAAGTAGGAAAACCTGCAAAATCGGCAGTGTATCAAATACTTGTTCTACCCACTGTATAGTATATAAGTGATTACCTGAATTTAGACCTACATATTGTTTTTGTACTTGGGGGCGTGTTCTGGCGGGAAAGTGACGTCAATGCATACCCTCTATTGTCTAGAATGTCACTGCAGCAGTAACGCAAGTAGATTTGTATTTACTGGAATAGCCAAGCCTGCTAATTACAAGAGTGTCCACATGTCTATTCACATTATTCTTAAAGTAAGAGTGGGCATGGCCATTGTAACTTGATTATGTCGAGGCTTTTGGTCACATCTACTTTCAATTTTTTTAAGCTGTACAAAGTCCATTATGCTGCTTGATATTGTAAACTCTTACTTGTCATCATATTATTTAAATGTATTATTGCAATCATAAACACAAAAGCGCAAATTATTTAACTTTTTACAGCAATTTGTTATTCTTCCAGTTATTTACCTATAGCGCAAATGAATCGGAAAGTGCCCACACAAACAAACAGAAAATATTTTACTTGTTGCTACATAAGGTGAATAACTATGGGCTTGAGTAGGGTTTCGTTTTTTTTTTTTATAAAAAATTCATTGTGTGCACACACACACTCTCTGAGATTTTAGTCAGAGCATTGAGAATCCATGTCTTAAAATTCTGTCTTAAAATTTGACAGTACTGGTCAGGTCACAGCTTCAGTTTTAGCTTTCACGCTGACATCACCATCTGAATGGTGAGAGGGGAATTTTGTCCTGGCTGTTCTGGAGCCCTGGTTCAGTTCTGACTGTCTGTCTCTCATGCTGTTCAATCACTAGATCAGAGAACACCCTTATGAGTGTCTTAAACACACAGCCAAAAGTTATGTGGATCAGGACACGCTGTGAGGCTGAAATTTAAGCACTGCTGCCCTACTTTCAAAACTTCTGCTGTCTATCAAAAATCCAATCTTGGGGAAGAGAAAAATCTCCCCACACTCATCCCGCCAAACACTGCTGAGATAATAAGTGGAGAAGCCAAGGGAGAATTTCACAACAGGAAAAAAAAAAAAAAAAAAAAAAAACATTTATGAAGCACATTCATCATGAGTTTGGTTTGTCTTCACTGGTCGGAAATTCCAGTGTTAAGTGAATGAGCTTGCACCTAATTAAGTAATATGAACTTTATAATATGAAACAGCCTAACTGATATGACACTAAAAAAAAAAAAAAAAGAAATTGACAAAAGACAAAACAAAAACATATTTTTTTGAGTATCATATCAGTGAAGCAAGCTCATTCAGTTAAGAATAACACCGGAATATATAACCTAACCTTTTCATCCAGTAGCACAATACACACATGCACACACATCGGTCTGATTCAGGTACGATTGATACTCCAAGGCACACCTTAGCAATAGAGTCACCATTGGCTAGTAATTTTTTTTTGTTTACTCACCAGACTGATATATTGTTATATACGTATATCATGATCCCATATTTTATAGCACACACATTTATTCTTATATTGATATTTTAATGCACATTCATAGTCAACATTTTGTACTCATATATATTTTCTGCAAACATTTATACATTTTGCTCTTGTACTTGTATGCAAATGTATTAAAATATACATATTATAAACAAAAAATGTATGTAAGAAATATATGTAGATGGCTAATGATGGACATCATTTAGTCACCCAGACACACTTATGCTGATGGTGATATTACTCAGGGAATATTACTAAAATTAAAAGGTTACATAATATTGTATTGCCTTTCTTCATATGCGTTTTATAATAAACAAGAGCAATGAGAAAGCCCACACAATATCCATGTTTCAACAAAAATGGCCATCAATTGTAAATTCCTACAGATTTCACATCCCTTGTGTGTTTGTTAATTTGAGCAAAGAGTTAAACAAATTAATTTAAAAAACACAAACAAAAGTTCCATTTAAATACTGGACAGATTTGGCTTCCACCATTCAGAATTGAAGAAAGAAAAAGATTCAATCGGATAGATGTAGAGAAATATGTTAGGCTATAACTGGAAATGGAAAACATTAGTGGCTGAATCTCACATATGCAAACATCAAAGAGGTGAAGGAAAAAAAAAGAGAGAAGCACTCACCTCCCTGCTTACTTCTGTCAAGATAGATTGAGACCCGTCGGGCCAAACCTGTAAGGAGAAGAGGAAAAGAGAGGAAGAACACAGGAAGAAGATCAGGAGGCCCGCTCAGTATATCAGCCAGAGGATAGCACAGTGTTATCAAACACACACCAGGATGTGATCTGTGGCCCTAACCCAAATGATGCACTTTATGCGCACTTGTGGTCTTACAACTGCCTTCGTGCACATATGTCAGTAAAATCCACACAACTATAGGGTTGTCCTGTCTTTCAATTTAGGCTTCAGTGCTTGAGAATTCCTCTTTTGTGACCAACATGCATTCTTGATGCACACTTGGACTTGGCATTACGTCACCAAAGATTGAATTTAGAGGTAGTATGCAAGGGTATAAAGTTACTGAGCCTTATCACACACTTTTACATGGAAACAAGCTCTCGCATTCACTTTTCTATTGGTGAATGCACACACACAAACACGCAGAGCGAGAGAGAGAGAGAGCTCATATTCTCTGAAAGTCACATGTTGGAACATTCAAGGACTGAGGTCCTCCGTTTTTGGTATCAAGAGCCAACATTCAGACTTTAAAAAAGAAATTATGGATTCTGCTATAATAATCCTACAGGAAACATGGAATATTAGAGATTTGTCCACTGCCTGCCCAATTGGATTTAGAGAAATAGTTTTACCATCCACAAAATTAAAAGGGGTGACTCAGGGCAGAGAGTCAGGGGGAATGCTGATATGGTATAGAGCACACCTCATAACCTCAATTACAGATATATATAAATCGGAAAAAACAACATTTGGTTAAAAATCCAAAAAGACATTGTCTCCACAGACCGTCATATATTCTTGTGTGCTACATACATTCCCCCAACTGAGTCCCCCTATTACAGTGAAGAAACCTTCTCCATCCTCCAGGAGGAGATCAGCAGTGGTGTAGTGCAGGGTATACGCAGGTATACGGCGTATACCCACTTCCTTTTCAGTCGGCATTGCGTATACCCACTTCTAAATCCCCTCTGATGCGCATCATTTAGTTGCTAATCCAATTTCGTGAATAAAAAAAACACCCAGTTAGAGTCGTACCCATAAAATTAACTCTAATTTTTTGCAGCAATGATTCTCCCATCGCGACGATAACTGACCTTCTCATCTGATATGCTTCAGCACTCACCTGCTCGTCAATATCAAAATGTTCGTGAGAGCAATCAAAGAATGCAGTATTTTTGTTCATAGAAGCGCGAGCCGAGCGCGAATCCCAACGCGACGCTTCACTTCAGTTAACGACAGTCAGTGCAAGATAAGATGCAAGTAGCTCAAATTTACGGCTGTTTTTCAATAGACGCTTTAAATGACCGACAGAAATAATCAGTTTGATTAAAGGCAGTGGAAATTATAAGCTCAATTTAACAACACAAGCACCCTATTAAATATATTGCCATTATTATTGTATAAATATATTTGTATAGCGTTTTTTCGAATGTGTTTGAGTTTTCACTGCTTGTATAACTCCGCTTGTCTGTGTTTGCGCCACTTGCATAAGCCAGAGGGTGGCGACAAGTGACTGTCTTTTTGAGTGAGCAATTGAACCATTAATTAAATTAACAGATTAGTCCAAAAAACATTGATTAATTTAGGAAAGAAAAGTCGCTGAAACTGGAACTGATTCTCATGTTTAAGAATCTGAACAAATAGGCTACTTCATGCTTTTACAGCTATTGTAGTCAATTTTGTTGGCCATCAAAACACCTTAAAATGCTCATTTAGAGATCAGGAAAATCAAAATGAAGGGGTTGGGGGGCTGGAACCCCCCTAACAATAGAATTTATGGGACCTGGCAGGCACCTGGGTATTTAGAAAACCATATGTGCGGCCCTGATACTACTGATTCTATGTGTTCTATTGTATTCATTATACTCTATTCTATAGTCTTGGATATTGAATACTAATGAAAGACTAGTAGTCTTACATGTCACTGTTTATAAGACAGGGCATTCATCCTTTGCTGGGACGCTTAAAAAAATATTGGGGGCATAAATTAAGAGTATACCCACTTCTCCAGGCACCACTACATCACTGGAGATCAGCCATTTCCAGACTAAAGGGAGTGTGTTAATGTGTGGGGATTTAAATGCCAGAACTGGAAATGAACCAGAATTTGTTAAGGGAAACAAATATATCACAAACACCAGCCTCCATCTGCCCTCATACCACTTAAGACATAATTATGACAAACTAACAAACAAAAGTGGGAAAATCTTACTAGAGCTGTGTCGATCGTGGGCCTGTATATAGTAAACGGTCGTATACGAGGAGACTCTTTTGGGTCCTACACCTTTAACTATTTCTTGGGCAACAGTACTGTAGACTACTTCATTACAGACATTGACCCAGTGCATCCCAGGGCATTCAAAGTCAGTCCTCAAACACCTCTGTCAGACCACAGTAAAATTACATGATATATAAGACAAACTCGTTCCAATGAATCACACCAACAGCCCTCCCATTTACTGAAGCTGCAACCACCCTACAAGTGGACAAAGAACAGCACAGAAAATTATCAAAATGCACTAGAAAGTAAAATGATCAACTTATTATTAGACAAATTCATAATGAACACATATTCACAAAATAAATTAGGCATAAATCTGGCACTTAGTGACATTTCCAAAATATTCCACCAATCAGCATCCAAATGCAATTTGAAAAATAAATCATCAAAAAGGAAAACAAAAAACAACAAAGAAATGTGGTTTGACAGCGAGTGCAAAAATATCCGAACAACTATACGCAATCTTTCAAATCAAAAACACAGAGATCCTGACAATGAAGAACTCCGCCATCAGTATCACGAAACCTTTAGACTGTACAAACAAACTCTTAGAGCCAAAAAGGAACAACACACAGAAAAATTATTTCAAGTAATAGAAGAGTCAATACACACCAGTAACTTCTGGAACAACTGGAACTCGCTCTATAGACCACAACAGGAAGAATTGGCCATTCAAAACGGGGACATTTGGAGGACACACTTTGAAAAACTGTACAAAACAACTGAAACAAATCCTGCTCGAAATGAATTAAAAACCAAATTAGAAATCCTGAAAGAAAAAATTAAAGACAATCAGAACCCCCTAGATTTCCCAATCACAATAAAAGAGCTTACAGAGAGACTACATGCTTTAAAACCAAACAAGGCATGTGGCATAGATGGGATATTAAATGAAATGATCAAATACACCAACGAAAAATTCAAAACTGCAATTGTCAAATTATTCAACATTATTTTGAGAGTAGGATATTTCCCCGACACCTGGAACCACGGCCTAATAACACCAATATTTAAACAAGGAGACAAATATGAGCCAAACGGCACGGCAGGGGCGGCGGCAGTGGCTCAGTGGTTCATGTGGGTTGTCTACGAACCGAAAGGTTGGTGGTTCAATCCTCGGTTTCACCTGACCAAGTGTCGAGGTGTCCATGAGCAAGACACCTAACCCCAGCTGCTCCCGATGAGCTGGATGGCGCCTTGCATGGCTGACACCGCCGTCGGTGTGTGAATGAGTGTGTGAATGGGTGAATGTGAGGCAAATGTAAAGCTTTGGTGGCCATTAGGTCTATGAAGGCGCTATATATAAAATGCAGTCCATTTACCAAACAACTACAGAGGCATATGCGTCAATAGCAACCTGGGAAAAATATTCTGTTCGATTATTAATATAAGACTGCAAACATTTCTCAAAACCCACAAAATTCTGGACAAAAGTCAAATTGGATTTCTGCCCAAACACAGAACATCTGACCACATTTACACACTTCACACGATCATTGATAAACATGTATACCAAAATAAATCCAAAATCTTCGCTTTCTTTATTGACTTTGAGAAGGCTTTCAATTCGATCTGGCATGAAGGACTCTTCCTAAAACTACTGGAAAATGGGATTGGAGGGAAAACATTTGATTTGATCAGCACCATGTATAAAAAGAACACATGTGCTGTAAAAATAGGGAATAAACGAACAGAATTTTTCTCCCAACAAAGAGGAGTCAGACAAGGTTGCCCATTGAGCCCCACTCTATTTAACATATATATAAACGAACTAGCCAAAGCATTAAATAATTCCACTGCCCCCGGCCCAACCCTGACCCAATCAGAAGTTAAATGTCTCCTCTTTGCAGATGATTTAGTCCTCCTGTCTAAAACACAAGAGGGACTACAGCAGCTCCTCGACGTCGTAGAGACATTCAGCCAAACGTGGGCTCTCAAAATTAACTTAGCAAAAACTAAAGTGATGATCTTTCAAAATAGATCCAGGTGTAGGGAAAATAAATACATATTCAGACTCAGAGCAGGAAACCAAGTCCTCCAACACACCCATGACTACACATATCTGGGTCTAAAACTGAGTTCAACAGGGAACTTTAATCTGGCTGTGAATGAGCTGAAGGCAAAGGCAATGAGAGTCTTCTACATGATTAAAAATACAATTAGACATGAAATTCCAATTCAAACCTGGCTAAAAATCCTAAAAGCAATAATTTAACCCATTGCTCTTTATGGCAGCGAGATATGGGGACCTCTAAAAACTCAAGAGTTCTCAAAATAGGAAAAAGAAGAAATTGAAACTCTGCATACCCAAATTTGTAAAAAACATCCTAAAAGTGAACAGAGCGACACCAAACAACTCATGCAGAGCTGAATTAGGACAATACCCCCTATTGATCAGCATCCAGAAAAGAGCTATAAAGTTCTACCAGCACCTAAAGCACAGTGACCCGAGCTCATACCAGGCCGAAGCCCTGCGGTGTCAGGAGCAGAACCGGCCCCGGAGTGCACTCTCACAGCTGATGCTCAAACCACAGCCCGACCCGCACAGCACTGTCTGCTGGCCCAACCAAATTATACAATTACAAAAACAAAATTACATTAACTATTGGAAAGATGCTACTAAATCACAAAAGAAGATAGAACTCTATCTAAACCTGAAAAGAGATTATAAACCAGCAGAATACCTGAGCTGTGTGAAAGAGCATAAAGTGAGAAAGACCCTAACCAGATACAGGCTGAGTGACCACAGTCTGGCCGTAGAGAGAGGACGGCACCGGCAGAGATGGCAGCCGCGAGAGCAGAGACTGTGTTCACTGTGCTCTCAGAGAGAGGTGGAGACAGAAGAACACTTCCTCATACACTGTGATCATTATCACAGCATTAGATCAGACTATTTCTCTAGATTCCAATAACTAGATCCAAATTTTATGGCATTGCCAAATTCAGAAAAAAATTATTCATATTTTGGGAGAAAACTCTAGCTCAATCACAACAGCAGCAAACTATGTAACAGCCTGCCACAAACTACGAGAGTCAACCAGTGGACAAAACTAAAGTCAGAATGTTGGTTCAAAACTGTGTTTTTTTGTTTGTTTGTTTGTTTTCTGATTTATACATGTATTTCATGCATTTGTTTACTGATTCATTTACTGATTATTTGTTAATTGCCTAAATAATGGCCAATTCTTTGGCAATACTGTATAAGTCATGCCAATAAAGCTCATTTGAATTTGAAAGAGAGAGAGAAGGGGGGGAGAGAGAGAGAGAGAGAGAGAGAGAGAGAGAGAGAGAGAGAGAGAGAGAGAGAGAGAGAGAGAGATTTAACACCTTTATTAACTAAATACACAACATTAAAAATATATAAACACTACATTAGCAAGAAATCACCTTGACCTACTCAAATTCTTCAATAAAGGGCAAAGTGTCATTTTCAATCCAGCACAACATTCTTTGTACACTCCACACATCTTCAAAGTTTTCCAATTTTTTCATATGAGAATAAAAAAATAAAATCATGTTTTATCCTTGCTTTTATGACCCCCTTAAACAACAATTCAACATTTGTACTATTGCCATTAATTTAATATATTTTCTACTAATATATTAAAAACTAAAAATAAACACAATCATTGTAAACACTGCATTAACATTAGTAAATAAAATCTCCAATAAACCAAATAAAGGTCTTAGTCTCTCACAGTGCATAAAACAATGAAAAATGGTTTCTCTTGCACCACAAAAAGGACAACTATCTTGTACATTCAGATTCAACAATGAGATAAAAGCATTTATAGCAACAATTCCATGTAAAATTTGCCATTGAAGATCACCCACATGTTTAGTCAATGGTGGTTTGTAACAAGAGCCCCAGAAAGGTTTGACATCAGAATCAACACTTAAATGATCTCTCCATGGTGTATCCATACGTTTTAACTTCTCATTATTTATCACCTTCACACAGACTTTATATAAACTCTTTCCTCCTATTGTGTCGAACATTATATCTCTCACATGCTCTGAGGTTGACAAACACTTTCAATATTTTCATAAAGCACTTTAATCAAGGCAGTGAAAGCAGGTGGAAAACCAAAAGTATCAAAAGTATACCATAAAAACTGATGATCCACCCGATCAAAAGCATTCTCTTGATCTAGGGAAATTAGGCCACATTTTTTCCCCACACAGTCTAGAAACTTCCAAAATATCCCGAATTAAGGATATATTATCCACGATTGATCTATTAGGGACACAATAGGATTGATCTAAATGTATAACCTGTCCAATTACTTTCTTCAGTCGGTTCTGATCTTATAATCAGTGCATAATAAAGAAACAGGCCTCCAGTTTTTTTTTATCTCATTGAGATCACCTTTCTTAGGGAGCAAAGTTAAAACAGCTCTTCTTCAACTTAGTGGCAGTTGTCCTTTATCCAAACTATCACTTAAGACGGCAAGTAGATCTTCTCCCAACAAATGCCAATATGCCTTATAAAACTCAACAGGCAACCCATCCAATCCTGGTGCTTTACCATTCTTCATACTCTGAACAGCATTAAGAATTTAATCTGTTGTTAAAGGACATATCAGTTCTGCATATGAATCTTCCTTCACTCTTGGTAGATTGGATACAAATTCAGCCATTAACTGTCCATCCACAACACTGTTGGAATACAGCTCCTTATAAAAACTGACAGCTCTTTTCCGAATGTCAGAAACCTCAGTCAGGACTTTTCCACCCTCTGACCGTAAACACTGAATACTTTTTCTTTGGCCATTTTTCCTTTCTAAACTGAAGAAGAACTTGGATGGGGCATCCATTTCAGAAAGACTCTAAAATCTAGATCTAACCAACGTCCCCTGAGACCTTGTCCCTAATAGATCTACTAAGGCTGCTTTTTTTTCTTTAAGAGCCCGCAATTGGTTGAGATTTGCAGAGATTTCATTTAAAGCCTGAAGTTCAACAATATCCATTTCTAGACTTCTTATAGACTTAACTATATCTCCAGAAACATTAAAAGTGTACTGATTACAGAATGTTTGTATTTGCACCTTCCCAATCTCCCACCACTGTTGTATTGATGTAAAAGATGACTTTAGATTTCCACCCCAACCAAAAAAAAAAAAAAAAGAAAAACATTTACAAAAATGAGCATCTTCTATTAAAGCACTATTAAAATGCCAGTAGGCACTCTTATACTTAAAAATAATGAAAAATAAAAATTATGATAAAAATAAAATACAGTAAATTAAAACCATTTAGAATAAAATGAAGTACAGTAACAGTCGGACGAACAGTGGCACAGTGCTCATTCAGTAAATGCACAGCTAAACAGATGTGTTTTGAGTCTGGATTTGAATGTGACTACTGTAGGAGCACACCTGATCTCTTCTGGAAGCTGGTTCCAGCTGCGGCTGGCATAATAGCTAAAAGCAGACTCTCCATGCTTAGAGTGAACCCTTGGTATTTCTAGCTGATGTGATCCTAATGATCTGAGTGATCTGTTGGGTTTAAATTCAGTTAGCATATTTGCAATATATTGAGGTCCTAACCCATTAAATGATTTATATACCAGTAATAATACTTTAAAATCAATCCTAAATGTAACTGGCAGCCAGTGTAAAGACCTGAGGACTGCTGTGACGTGTTCATATTTTCTGGTCCTGCTCAGAATCCTGGCAGCTGCAATCTGTATGAGCTGCAACTGTCTTATGGTCTTTTTAAGAAGGCCAGTAAGGAGGCCATTACAGTAATCCACCCTGCTGGTGATGAAAGCATGCACAAGTTTCTCCAAGTCTTGACTGGAAACGAAGCATCTAATTCTTGAAATATTTTTCAGATGATAGTATGCTGATTTAGTTATTGCTTTGACATGACTACTGAAACTAAGGTCTGACTCTAGAGACACACCAAGATTCTTGACTTGATTTTTAGTTGTTAGACCCCTAGCGTCAAGGTATGCATTCACCTTGAGAACTTCATCTTTGTTTCCAAACGCAATGACTTCAGTTTTGTCTTTGTTTAACTGCAGAAAGTTGACACATCCAACCGTTTACTTCATCAATGCATTGGCACAGGGAGTCAATGGGGCTGTAGTCGTTAGGCGATAGGGCTAAGTAGAGCTGTGTGTCATCTGCGTAGCTGTGGTAAGCGATTTGGTTCTTTCTCATTATTTGGCTCATTGGGAGCATATACAGGTTGAATAGGAGTGGCGCAAGAATCGAGCCCTGAGCGACTCCGCAGTTCATGGATGTCCACTCAGACTTATGTTCTCCCATACTCACAAAATAACCTCTCTCTTCTAAGTATGACCTGAACCATTTTAGGACTATCCCAGAAAGCCCCACCCAGTTTTCCAGCCTGTCAAGAAGTATGTCGTGATCGACAGTGTCAAATGCAACACTGAGGTCGAGTAGAACCAACACAGATAATTTGCCTGTATCAGTATTTAAGGGAATATCGTTTATTATCTTTATGAGCGCTGTCTCTGTGCTGTGATGCGATCGGAAACCAGATTGAAAATTGTTAAAATATCCATTTGAGCTTAAAAATTTGTTCAGCTGATTGAAGACAACCTTTTCAATGATTTTGCCTATGAAAGGAAGATTTGAGATCGGTCTATAATTACTTAAGATGGTCTTATCCAGATTGCTCTTTTTCAGGAGGGGCTTGACAACTGCAGTTTTCAGGGAGTTCGGAAAACTCCCAGAGCGAAGTGAGGCATTTACCACTTCTAGGAGATCTGCTTCTAAACAGTTTAACACACTTTTAAAAAAAGATGTGGGAAGTACGTCAAGGATGGGGAAAATAAACTCAGATGACAGGAGAAGAGTGGTATCTGCACAGTGTTTGTGAGTGTGAAAGCAAACCTCGTGTGGTGGGCAGCATGTCGGATAGTCCCTGCCATGCTGTGACCATCTCTGGATTCCTCTGGTCAGCAAAGTTCTTCCAAATACGCAATGCTCCGTCATCTGCAAAAAAGTGGCATGTTGAAAGTCAGCACAGAAACTGACAAAGATGAGAACCATTTAAAGTCTGTGTCAACATGATTGATAGGTGAACAGACCAGTAGCAGTGAGGAGGAGAGAACAGTCATGCCCATTAAGATACTCCATGGATGTGATACGTGTGTACCGTGGGTTCCCATTGTAGAAATAATCCAACCTCTCGCCTTTTTCCCAGTCCCAAAAACTGCACACACACAGAGAACACAATTTAATTATATATATATATATATATATATATATATAAATTATTAACAAATAATTAAACACACACACACACATATATATATATATATATATATATATATATATATATATATATATATATATATAGGCTATATTGTTTTTTTGCAAATACTGTACATTTTGAAGCATGTAACAGAGACGCCCTGACCATTTCTCAGTGATGACAAATAAATCACTGAATTAGTATCAATAGAATTCGATAGAACACGGCTAAAGTATTTCCAGGCAGGTCTTGACCGCATTATAGTTCCATATCATTCACCAAATGATTTCAGTTATTTCAAAGGTCCTTAGAGACCATAGCAGCAAAATAACCAAAACCCACAATGACACTGACAAAGCAGTTTTTTTTATGTACGGACAGCAAATATGCCTACTCTCTTTCTCCTGCTCTCTCACCCACCAAAACGCACACACATATCGTGCGTGTATATATTCTGGACACACTGGCACAGAATCATGTTGTCAGCGCTGCTCTGACAATTTTATCAGTAAATAGTTTAACAACTTGCAAGCTACATGCCATTTCTTACTAGCAAGGATATAGAGGCATGGTCCTTGGAGCAGATAAACTTACAATCCACTATTAGACTAATAATATTAGTTATTGAAGAGAGACGCTGGTGTTGAACACTGTTGAGAGATGCACAGACTCAGGTAATTCCCACATGCTTGAAAACTCTCCCTCTCTCTCTCTAAAAACTGCATTAGTCTGCTATCAATGGATCAAGCCTCCATTACTAGCTCTAAAATGACGTTTTGGAATAAGCAACGGAGGCTTGATACTAGATGTGTAAGAAGTTAGTCCTACACACGAGCACTTTAAGGACAAAACCCTGACAAAAGTCTTGAAATACATAATCTGAACAAAGTTTTGAGGTGTGGTAACCACAGTATAAGCGGAATAATTAACTGCGGGCTGACAAATTATTGAAACATTATTTTTCTTATTTTTAATAATAATCCGTATCGTGGCCACATTGTCACCTCTGGTGTGGATTATTTTTCCAATAATTAATGCCTCTTAGTCATGAATTCCTTACTTGCACTACAGTAGTAAAATTGCAGTGCTGTTTGATTCCTTTATATTCACTTGCAAGAGTTAAACCCTCAAGCTTTGAATCTGGTGGAAAACCAGTTTATGTTTCTGTGACAGCAAATGTACAAACATTATCTCATCTACAAACAGTATCTCATGTCCACAGAATAATATAGAATTCATTGACAATTGGAAAAGTTTTTGGGGCAGACCTGCTGTTGAAAAGAGATGGTATTCATACCTCCTGGGGTGGTGCCACTCTTAGTAATAAGACACATATTAGAGCTGAACCTTGACTAAAACTGGGGCTCAGGTCAGGAAGCAGACTGACTGGCTAAACCGATTGTCTGCCAGCTGTCTCAAATCACAGAAGTCAGATAAATCCCATCACATAGAGACACATTCACCTAGATATCATTATGTAAAGACTGTGTCTGTTCTCCGAACTAGGAAAGGTAATCCCAAACCCATTTAAGGGAAAAAATGTAATGTATGAAAAAAACAAAAAAAACAAAAAAAAAAAAAAAAAACATATATAATACAGATGAACAAATGATAAAGCTTGGGTGTCTGAATATACGATCCATTTCTTCAAAAGCGCTTATAAATTATATGATTACAGATAAATCTACCTTTTCTGTCAAATATACTAGAAAAGGCAGCATCCTCACAACTATGTTTCTTTTTAGAAAGAAATGGTATCTGCGAATACCAAAGAGGAAACAAAGAGGTGTCATATAAATGTCAAGGTGTCAAGTTCCATATGGAGTATACTTGATGGATGTTCTGTGTGATCTGGGTTGTGTAATAGGAGTTAGTATAGCATGGGTGGTGTAAAAGGGGTCAGTGTAATATGGCTTGTCCTAATATGTTGTGATCACTGTTATTGTCCTTCTTGCGGATACTTCTCTGTATCCACAAGTTTCTGAGGGGCGCTCCTGTAAAAAATAAAGTGGGTGAAACTTCCGGTGAGGCGGCGGAAGTAGCATTCCAATGGTCTTTTGTGTGTTAGTTAGCGAAGAGGCTAGCTGTTTTTCGGAGAATTATTTTACTATTTAAAGATGCAAATCTTTATGAGAGATGTCGTTACGGAGCTCAGGGACAACATGTGCTGTTCGCGGTTGTATAACCGGACTAAACTAATTCAGAGGCTTAAACGTGATTGTTTTGAACATAAGCTGAAAACGAAATCAGAGTGATCTCCTTCACATCTATTGCAATCTCAAAATTCTGGCCAGTGTTGATAATACCTAGATTATCAAAATCAACTGCTGGCGGTAGATCCATTTCCTATTTAAGTCAAGTCAAGTCACTTTTATTTAAATAGCGCTTTTTGCAATACAGATTGTATCAAAGCAGTTTCACAGTGATATCATGTAAATAATACAAGTAGTTTGTTTCTTGAAGAAAATTGCATCATTGTCAACCTGAAGTAAAGCAGATCAATAATATTTTCGAATATTAAATGTTCCCAACTAAAAAAAAAACCTTGGGAGAACTGGGAACACTTCCTATATAGTCTAGGTCCTGGGTATGCACTTCATTTAGCGGAGAATCTCAACTGTTATAGACTAATATGACCCCATTGAACAACGTGTGATGTGTGCCAAAATCTCTAACCCGGGACGAAAGTCCTGAAAATGATCACTTTTTTTTTTTTTATCTTTATAGAAATTCTCATACATTTCTACCAGTTCAATCTTCATATTAAGAAAAATACTATTTGTATTACACTTTATCTTAAAAATAAAATAAAATATGCAAATTAGGAAATATCTCATTAAATATGCGTACATATAACCTCTTGAAGCTACAGATTTTTAGGTGATCACAATGTTCACAATGACCATGTTCTCACCAATGCCATGATGTCGATAATGATTGCGTGTGTTTGCGGGTATGGAATGCCAAAGCTGGCTTAATTAAAAATAAATAAATACATAAATAAATATACCAAGATATGTAAAAAAGCAAAAATACAGAAATAAATACAGAAATTAATATACAAAGAAATGTGAAAAAGTATAAATAAATGAGTATTTATACTTGTATTTCCTTATTTATGTATAATTGTATTTTTTCACACATTTATTTATTTATTTATATATTTATTCATTTATCTATTTCCACTTTTATTTATTTCTACATTTATTTATTTCCACATTTATTTATTCCAACATTTCTTCGGCATTCACAGTTGCACTTCTTACAGCTGTGAATCCAGGGACACTGCCACACCCATTTTTTGGAGAAGCGATTGACCATCCACAGAAAATAGTCTGAATTCATTAACTTGGTGGACAAACTGCTGTTAGCTACATACAATACACACCAAAATAGATTTAAAACTGATACAAACTCATTATAATTATTTAAATACACAACATTACAACTCAAATGATAATGACATGTACTGTAAATGTACACGCCAACACAAAGAATAAAGAGTAGATTTCCTTACTTTTCTTGATCTCAAATCATATTGTTTGACAGCCATGTGCTCTGCAATGACCTCATGTGTGTAATAGGTTGACTGTTTTTTAGCCATTTTCTTTATATTAAATCAGAATGCTTACAGTCTTCTATGACCTTATTAGGGGCCAAGCACCGAAGGTGCAGAGGCACCTATTGTATCTGTTGGTTTTATTATTATTATTAGTGGTGCTTGCTGAAAGCAAGGCAACACTATTACTATTGTGTTTTTTGAGTCGGCCCAAAAGTTTGGCGCGCTACTCCTCCCGCAGTTTTTGTCACACACCCATGAATGAGGTCTCAAAACGTGCGGAATATTCGGGAATGGTGTGCTATGACTTTTCTAAGCGATCGGGGGTACGATGTTCGCCCGAAGGGCGAACAAATTTCCCAAAAATCCCATAGACTTAACATTGCGACAAACTTTGACGACTCATAGCTCCGAGCGAGGATTTCACAGAAGCCTGCGATTTACCACATTTGAAGAGGCTGACAGGCTCTGTAAGAACATACCTCACAATGGGGTAAAAGTTGCACCCCTGGGGGGCAGGAGCTGCCCAAATTTTCCCCCATTGACCCCAATGTTATTTAAAATTTCTAGTATAACATTATACTATTCCAGGAAAAAGTTTGGCGCACTCCTACGTCCACAGTTTTTGTCACAGACCCATGAATGAGGCATCAAATCGTGCGGCCTATTGAAGAGAAGTGTCCTATCACTTTTATCAGAGATCGGGGGTACGGTGTTCGACCCAGGGGCGAACAAATTTCCAAAAAATCCCATAGACTTAACATTGAGACAAACTTTGACGACTCATAGCTCCGAACAACGATTTCGGAAAAACGTGTGATTTGCCACATTTGAAGAGGCTGGCAGGCTCTGTAAGATTATACCTCACAATGGGGTAAAAGTTGCACCCCTGGGGGGCAGGAGCTACCCAAAATTTTCCCCATTGACTTACTATGGTGAAGGATGTCCCATCAAATGCATGTGTTTTTCCTACTATGGTAAATTGCATAGGGATTTTGTATTGAACATAGCTCTGGATCATAGTGTCATAGAGACAAGGGGGCGGGCTCATTTTACTCAGACGACCAATCAGTCTCTCAGGATCATTGTGAAGCTATCAAGCCACGCCCTAGCAACCATATGGAGCACCTTAGCAACAACTCCCATAGACTTCCATTGAAAGAGATCAAAGGGATATCTCCGGATAGAAGTGTCATAGAAACACAAGGGTGGTCTCGTTTGACTCGGGGTAGCAAACAGCCAATCATGAATCACCTCAACAATTCTGGCCACACCCTAGCAACCATTATCGAGCACCTTAGCAACCAAATTTTAAAGAGGGATATCTTCCATTCTGAATGTCATACAGGCTTGGGAGTTGTATTATATCACTTATACTGACAAGCAGCCTTTGGAGATT